CATTTGTCAGGTTCTGAGGAGGACTTTGGTTGAATAGTGTTTTTTAATAGCGTTTAAAGAGGTATGCTGGGAATTCCCTGGCGTTCCAGTGGTTAGGACTCAGCAGTGCTGCCACTGCAGGGGGCACGCATTCCAGCCCTGGTCCGAGAACTAAGATCCCACAAGCCTCATGGCGCAGCCAAAAAAAAAAAAAAAAAAAGGTGTGCTGCTGGCAACAAGTTTGAGAACCTCTGGGTTAGAGACACTCCTGTCTATTATGGGCACAGACACCACTGCCCCAACACCCCATGATTCCACTGATCCTGAGAGGGGGCACGTGCCCCTCACGTCTGGCTTCGCCCCACATCACCAGCCCTGTGCTCCATGTGTGACCTCTGGGTCGTGTGGGGTCCTGGGATGCTGATCCGCATCCCTCCTTTGCCACCCACGCCCCGCGTTTTGCAGAGCTTGAGGCCTTGGTGAGGGCCCTGGGCTCCATCCTGAGAGCCCCCTGGAGAGTTTTAAGCCCTCAACCTCTGTGGCCACAATAGCCCCAGCTTTCCAGCCCACTTCTCTTATGTGTGAGTCATCAATGTGTTTTCTGTCTGTTCTCTGATACCTCCTCAGCGTCTAGAACAGTGGCCAGTACATGGTCCACGCTCAGTGAATACGCGACTAAATACGGAGGCAGGCTGACCAGGTGTGGCCTCCGTCCTCGTGGAGTTTACAGTCCAAGGGCAGACACAGGCATTAAACACAAATATGGCAAAGGGACGTAGTGAACTCAGAGTGTGGACCAGTGCTGGGGGCTGAGGGTGGTGCTAACGGGGAGAAGACCCCAGCTGAGCTGAGGCAGGAAAGCAAGGGCTGCCCAGAGCTGAGACTGGATGTCGGGCAGAGAGACCTGCCAAGCTCCCGGCCCCTCTCAGTCTGTCATGGTCCTTGTGTGCCTGAGGAGGGACTGGGGCTCAGAAGGGAAGGGTCACTCAGCCGCAGCCCACCCAGAGCTTCCTGCTCCAGGTTGTGGGAGGCCTGGCACCCCCAGCACCAGCCCTTCCTGGATGGATATATTCTCTGCCTCCACTCCTGGGCCCTGCTGCCTGCTCTGGCCAGTCCACGCCCTCCCGGGCAGGCAGGGACAGCGTGTGCCGGCTTCCAGCTCTCCGGCTGGGGCTCCCTGGCCTGCTGGGCTGGCCTCTCACCTGGCAGCCTCAGCCTCCCCACACATGTGCCCCCGTGGGTGGCCAGCCCCCCCCCCCCCGCCCCGCACATGACAGGCCTGACGCCTGAGGTCCCACCACAGCTGGGGAGGCTGGCACTGTCCTGTTCAGAGGAGGAAACTGCCTTGGCCCGTGCGACCCAAGTCTGAGCTCTGAACTGGTGCCGTCAGAGCCTGTCCATGGGCTCTGGCCACCCGGGTGCCATCGTAATCCCCAAGCTGCTGCCTCCTGAGGACCCCGCGGGGCTGCCAGCAGTGTCTTGACTTGCAGCTGCCCGCTGTTGCCAGGACAGAGCCATCCTCCGTCTTCTTCATCTGCATTCCTCTCCGCTCTGGGCCTATTCCGACCACTCTTCTCTCTCCATAGCCTGAAGCTCGAGGCCTTGTCCATCTCCCACTGACACTAGTGGCAAGACTTTTTGTCCAGTTATTTGGCCATTGCTCTAGGTCAGGGGACGGTCTTTCCTTCATCAAAGGGCACCCAGTCTGGCTGAGCACCCAGTCTGGTCTGGGCAGAGGGTGGGGGGCAGGTGCCATGTTAATTTCTTCATTCACTAAACAGAAATCCTCCAATGGGGTTTGTGAAGGAAGGGAGGAAGGAAGGATGGAAGGATGGAAGGAAGGAGGGAGAGTAGGGGGGCATAGCAGGTAAGGAGGGAAAGAGGGAGCCCTTTGGGTTGGCTGAGTCTCCCAGCCCTTACTTTACCCCACACAGTCCAGGAGCGGACTTGGACTGGACCCTTAGATGGCCAGGGGGCTGAGAAAAGCTTGATTGACCACTTGAGCCTCAGTTTCTTCCTCTCAATGGGGCTGGTAACAGTTCTGACCACAGAGGATGGTTGGGAGCGTCAAAGAAAGGCTTGTGAGTCGGCACCGGCAGGACCCAGCACACTGCAGGCCATCAAGTTCCCCAAGCAGGGTGGCAAGTCATGTGCTGAGGCCTGACTGGCACTTGCAGAGGGACAAGTGAGGGAGGGAAGGACAAAGGCATCTTGGGCAGTGGGGGCAGCGTGGGCAGAGGCCAGGGCACAGGCTGTGGGCAGGTAGGGATGCGGGACTCGGGGGTTTGGGCCAGCAGAGGGAGGTCAAGGCAGAGCCTCACCACATGGACCACATTCGGGTCTACTCCTGGAGCCCTCTTCCCAGCTGGGTGAGGTAGGGCAAGCTACTTCTCTCAGAGTCTCAGCTTCCTCTCCTGTGAGACAGAACATCTAAGCGCATGGCCCTGTGGTGCCGATGAGCTCAGTGGAGGGTGTAAATGTCCGGCCCAGGGCCGGACACCCCTTCGGCCCTATGGAGTGTGAATACCGTTGCCAAGTCCCTGCCTTGCCAGAGGCACTTCCTTCTTGCTGCAATGCCTCCTCCCATTCCTGGCCCTTCCCCTGTCCTCTGAAGGGCCCCTGTCTGAGCCTGAGTGCCTCAACAAACCCTCACACCTCTGTCATTTTCCTTGGTGCCTCCCCGGGGTGTAACAAGCCCCTTGAGGGCAGGGACCTGTATCTCCTCCCTGAACCTAGAGGTGAGCACCCAGGACATGTGCAGACTGGAGAAAGGAGCAGCAGGTGGTGAGTTTGAGCAGAAGGGCCTGGAACCCAGAAGGAGGAGGGAGAGGAGGAAGAGGTCACTCTTTTTTTTTTTTTAATTAATTAACTAATTAATTATAATTTTGGCTGCATTGGATCTTCATTGTTGCGTGTGGGCTTTCTCTAGCTGTGGTGAGCAGGGGCTACTCTTCGTTACAGTGCATGGGCTTCTCATTGTGGTGGCTTCTCTTGTTGAGGAGCACAGCTTCTAGGCGCCCGGGCTTCAGTAGTTGTGGCACATGGGCTTAGTTGCTCTGCGGCATGTGGAATCTTCCTGGATCAGGTCTCAAACCCGTGTCCCCTGCACTGACAGGCGGATTCTTAACCACTGCGCCACCAGGGAAGTCCCGAAGAGGTCACTCTTGATGGGAGGCTCGGAGAGGTAGCACAGAAAGGTCAGGTCTGGATGAACAGGATGGCTGAGTGAAGGGGAGCTGGTGTGACCAGAAGCCAGGACTGCTATGCGGAACAATGAAGGTTTAAGACCCAGAGAAGGGTCCCAAAGTCCAGGCAGCTTTCCCACCGGGACTGTGTGCTTGTTTATGGCCTTCTGCTTTCCAGGGCCTGTGCTCACTTGCAAAGTGGGTGCCAGGGAGCCATCTTGCCATGGGGGTGAGGATACAGGAGATGCTGCAGCAAAGGTTAGTTCTTGGCACTCGGCCTCTTCCAATCCCACCCCTCTATTCCTGGTTTAGCACGTCAAGGTGAAGGGTATGCACTGCACTTCCTCAGCTGGCTTGGGATTTCTTCAGGGCAGGGTCCCCTTCCCTCTGAGGAAGCAGTTCCCAATAGAACTGTGTTCTTTCATTGACCTGGGCCCACTAAGCACCAGGCCCAGTGCGCAGGAGGACCATAAAGTCATTTCCCAGCCCAGGCTCCCAGGTCCCCTGCAGCTCTAAGGAGTAACTGATGGAGTCCCTCATACATTTGCCAAATGTGTCTTGTTGTTTTTTTTTATTTATTTGGTTGCGCCAGGTCTTAGTTGCAGCATGCGGGCTCCTTAGTTGTGGCATGTGAACCCTTAGTTGTGGCATGCATGTGGGATCTAGTTCCCTCACCATGGATCGAACCCAGGTCCCCTGCATTGGGAGCGTGGAGTCCTAACCACTGTGCCACCAGGGAAGTCCCTTGTTTTTTGTTTTTGGCCACGCTGTGCAGCATGCGGGATCTTAGTTCCCCAACCAGGGATCGAACCCGTGCCCCCTGCAGTGGAAAGGGGAAGTCTTAACCACTGGACCGCCAGGGAAGTCCCACATTTGCCAAATGTTTAGGAGCACCCACTGTGTGCCAGCCCTGGGGGGAGATAAAGGACAGGCAGGGTCCTCATTGCATGAGGCTTATCATCTAGTTTCTTCCCCACTCTCTCCCCATGTTAAGCCTGGGCTCTCAGGTCTCTGGGTGGGAGGCCGGCTCTATTCCAGGCTATCCATCTCCAGTGCTCTTTTCCTCTGTCTTCTAGTGGGAAACCAACTGCTCTCAGAATGGAGAAAAATTCCTTCACAAGGCCTGAATGATCTGAAGCTGCACCCTCCACTTTGCCTGCACTGCCACCGAGGTCCAAACCACCATCACCTCTTTGCCTGGATGGCCACAAACAGCTTGTACGTGGCCCTGCTCCCCTTCTTACCCCCTACCTACCTCATCCTCCATTCTCCAACCAGAGTCTTCTCCTTATACACATGCATCTGACCATGGGCTTGCCCTTCTGTCCTCAGAGCTGCTCCTCCCCACCCTTCACAGGTCCCAGTGATGGCTGTGGAGCCAGCAGCCCCGTCTGGAACATAATTGGGCTCTGCTCCTTGCGGGTTGCATGACCTTGGGCAAACCCTCGGCCTCCACTATGCTTCTGTTTCCTGTGAAATGGGGCTGTTCGTGGTGAGTGTTGGCTATAATTACACTATTTCCTCAGTGAGACTCCCTGACTCCCCCACCCCGACCCCCCCCACCCCCGCCCATGAGAAGCAGGTTCCCACAGTCACATTCCCATCACCTCGGCGCTGATTGGTGCCTGAAATAATCCTGCCCCTTACCCCATCTCCCGCAGCCAGTATCACTGTGCACCTACTGTGTGTCGGGCTCTGTTTCCCAGTGCCACCGCACTGGGCGCCCCGCAAAGGCAGGGTCCCCGCCGGTCCCTGCGCCCCGGCGCTCCCAGGCCGCCGGCGCTGTGCCCGCACCGCGCCCGCACACAGTAGGCGCCTCGTTCGCCCGCGCCGCCGCCCCTCCCCCGCTCCAGGAAGTGCGGGGGCTCCGGCGCCGGCCGCCGCGATGCATTCTGGGCCAGCAGCAGCACCAGAGCCAAGATGGCGGCCAGCAGGAGGCTGATGAAGGTAAAGACCATTCTCCGGCGCCGGCGGGCGGACGGGGAGTGGCGTCGGCCGGGGCCGCGCGGCCGCCCGGACCCCTCGGGGGGCCGCCGCCGCCCTCCGCCTCGCGTGGCGCCGCCGCCCAGGGCCGTGTGATGAGGGAGCTAAGGCGGCCGCTAGGCCGCAGCCCAGGAGGGAGCGCCAGGCCGCGCCGCCCCGGCCCTTCGCCGGCCGTCCGGCTGCCCCGCCCGGCCCGCGGGCTCCCTCCGCGAGGCGGCGGAGGCAGCAGGAGGCCCACCGGACGCCCGCGGGAGGCCCGAGCGCCGAGCCCGCGCCGCGGAGCTGCCCCGCCCTGGGCCATAGCGCACCGGGCTGGAAGCCGCCGGGCCGGGCGGGCGGGGGGCTCGGGGCGGGGGCCGGCGGGCGAAAGTTAGGCCGGGCTGCCGTGGGCGATCTGGGTGTGCGGGGGCCGGCAGACTGTCGCTGCGACTGCCGGCAGACTGTCGCTGCAACTGCAGAGTCACACAGCGGCAAGTTCGGCCCCGGGGTGCAGGAGAGCGGGAGGGCGGGGGGCGGCCGGCCGCGGCGCGGGCCTCCTGCCCCGTCCTCGTCATCCGCGCTCCGGGCCCTGCTGGAGCAAAGTGCCATTTTAGGGGTGGGAGTGGGAGTTAAAACCAACCAAAGTTTATAAAAATAATTTGCTACTTTGTATCTTGAACGCGGCGGGGTGCATTCTTGCTCGCTGGCTCCCCGAGTGAGGAGCACAGATGTCACCCGGGCCCAGTCCTTTCTCGAGTGTGTTTGCCGGCGTCCCCCAGAGCCGATCTCGCCTAGGTTTGCAAGTCGGCCGCCCTGCCGGTGGTGCTGCCGGGCTGCACCGGGCCGAAAATCAAAAGGGCCCAGGAGCTGATTTCCTGGGGGGAGATAAAGGGCTGGGGTTCCTCCTGGGCAGAGCAGTGCTCCGGAGAGCCAGACGTTGAGTTTGGAGTCCCAGCCTCCGGGCCCTCCCTCCCTGGGAACGTTTCCTTTCTTTTGTTCCCTAAGGACTAGACACGACATTGAACTTCATAAGACTGGATTGGAAGTGGGCACAAAAGAAGAGTCAGCAGAGTCCAGATTTCTCTCTTCTCTGTCAGTGACACCACCGTCCACACAGTCGTCCGGATGGGAAGACTGTTATTCATTTATTTTCCTCTCTACTTCCCAGAGGCAGTCATCCTTGATGCCTTTCGGATTTTACTTTAAAGGTTTCTTGAGTTCCTGACTTCTCTAATCTTACTGAGATTACTTGAATCCATACCCTCACCTCTCAGGTGCCTTTCTGAGTTCTCTCCTTCTCTGACTCGCCTTCTTGGCCACCACAGTTCTTTTTCTAAAGCAGATATTAATCCTTTCATGCTCCTGTCCTAATCTCCGTGATTTTATTGTCCTCGGAAGTTAATCCTAACTTCCTGGCAGCAAGACCCTTAGACTGCTGGAAAGTAATCTGTTCAGCCACACCTCCTGCTCCTTGGTTTGCCATCACTCTTGCACCTAATCACTGTAGCTGCCATTTTCCTTAGCCTTGACTTTGTGCAGCTCCGTACTTCATGTTCATGATGGTGTGTAATCCTCCCTGTGAAGTAGACTCTATTATTCCCATTTTGTAGGTGAGAAAATGGAATGCAGGGAGAATCGCTGGCTTGCCCCAGTTTTCTAGCTAGGGAGAGAGTGAGCTGTGATGTGACTAGTTCTGTCTGACCCGAGAGCCCCCGGCCCTTAGGTGGCCTTTGCACACGCTGTTTGCTCTCCCTGAGAAAAGCTGCCTTCCCCTCGCCTTTCATCCCCTTCCAGGGAAGCCCTGGGTTCAACTCCGAGGCCAGCTACTCTGAGGCCTCGCCTCCCCCATTAGAATGAGTTGTTTCCGCCTTTGTGTGACCACAGCACTTTCTTTATGTTTCTCTTTGAACACTTGTCACAATCGGATTTGTGTTAGACTTGCCTTTCCTACCAGGGTCTGAGGTCCTCAAGGGCAGGGATCTTGACCTAATTCATCCTGGTATCCCTTAGTCTAGGCCAGTTGACCCAGTTTGGGGCTCCCAGGCTCCCAGGGGTCTGAGAGGGGAGTTACTATGGTTTTTCAATTATTTTTGTGTTTCAAAAAAATTAGAGCTTAGGAAAAAATATGTAACATTAACTGAGTACTTGTTAAGTGCTAGATCATTTAGGTAAGTTTTTTTTAATGTTTTCAATAACTCTTAAAGGTAGTGTGTTGTCATCTTTATTTTACCAACGAGAAGGTTGTGAGGCTTAGCGGACCATCCTGGGGAGAGATGAGATGCTACATCTCCCTGTCTCCATATCCCAAGTTCCACGCCCCTTATCACATGGCCTCCTTTCTTATTCCAAGGATGCACGGAGGAGTATGTTGATTCCTGACTCTTGCCTGGAGATTCTTTCAATTTAGTAGGGGATGCTCGTTACAAGATGGTAATCATTGGCTCTGAGAGTCAGTGTTTAGGCCTGGTTAATTTAGAAAAAAAATTATTGAATCAGGTTGATCAGTACTTGGGCTGGATAATAAAAGGGATTTTCAGTGGTGAAAAGTAAACATGTTGAATAATCAAATGGATTACATCTTAAAGAACTGGAAATTTCCTCAAAAACCATTTTCTGAGGCACTTGGAGTCAAAGATTTCTTTGTAACAATGGACTATCTGCAGATAGTGTAAAATACATTATTAAAAGTAGAGTGATTTGCATATATCAGGCTGAGAAGTTATTTTAGGCAAAGTGAATATGATAAAGTCTTTAATTTAAAAAGCAATTGCCAAAAGGATTAGCCTTTTTCAGAACACTTTTTAGGAATTACAATGTTAATAAAACATTAAATACATTTTAATTTGCAAGCAGCTAATTCAGCATTGATGGCAACCACCAGATTGTAACCATTGCTTCAGTCAGGAGGGGAAATAGCTACAAAAGTGAAACCTGTAGGTGTGGCTGAGGGAAATTGATTGCAGTCTGTTCATTTCTTTTTAGCCTCTCAATTGCACACATCTCCTGGAAGGGCCCTCCAGCTGGGTATCTTCCCAGAAGGGCTTTTCTCAGTGGGGAAGTTTGTAGATTTAAAAGAGGAGTGACATTTTATTAGTTATTATGGCATAACTCCTGAGATAAGGAATTGAGATTTGTAGCAGCCTGTTAATGCTATTTAAATACTGCTCACTCAGAGCTCCATGTTGGTGTACTTTCAGCCCATAATCACATGTGAATGAGTAGGAGGAGTTGCTAAATAATAGTTCATTCCTTGGAATTCATTGTACTAAGCAGTGAACTAGTTTGCTCTTGAGTGCAGGTATAGTACTCCCTGAGGTTGGGTAATGAACACAAGGAGCGGTGAGTGTGTCTGGTGGGTGTGTTGTGCGTGAGGGGAGTTTTACAGATGGTGTCAGTGTTCTGAATCCACTGGGTTTTTGGGACTCGAGGAAAGCACAGCATTTTTTACCCTAAATTCATGCATCGCAGTGAGTTGGGACTATTTTAGCCTCCCTTAATGATATTCTTTGTAAATGTTTCTCTCTTAAGAGACAATTGGGACAGGCCCTGGGAAAGAGAGTATTCTCATTATTGCAATCTTGGAACCTTTTCTTGAGGTGTACACGAGCACAAAAACACTTGTTCCAGGGTACTTAGACCTACTCTGATTTTGCTACAACTCTAAGTTAAGAGGCTGTTGATTTAGTGTTTTATTACATCAGGTCACTTGAAAGTATTCTCACTCTTGGAAAGTATCACTAAATGTTCAAGAGATAACTTCTCTTTTCTTTGATGCAACAGTAAGTTGGGAATTAAAGCTTACAGAACCACAAAGCCCTCCCTCCTGGGCCTGGACTCTGGTGGTCCCCCACACCCCACACCCCCGCCCCTCCTCAGGAGTTTCCTTTGAATGGCGCCGGACCTGCAGGCCTCCGGGTCTGAGCCCCGCCTGTGCCCCCACGTCTGTCTTGCCTCCCTTAGTTAATGGGCCACTTGTCTACTCCATCACCAAGGAAGAACCTGGGGGAACCTGCCTCATCCCTTCCTTCCACATTGAGCCACTTGCCAGATTCTGCTGAACTAGGCCTTTATCTCCCTTCTCTTTCTGTCTTTTCTGCATCTCCACTGCCATGCCCTTCATGCAGGCCGTCCCTGTTGTGGTGGACACCTGCCTGGGATCGCTCAGTGGGTTCTTTGTGCTCGTCCCCAGTCAGTTCCTCACTCCCACGTCATCCCTAAGCGGCAGTGCGTTTGAGAGAAGTGCTCACGCCCAGGCCTTGCCCCCAGAAACCGGATCCGGGTTCAGTAGGGCAGGACCCGCGCTCCTCAGCGTGTCCTGTCCGGGGTTGGGCTTGTCAGTCTCATCTCCCCCGCTTGCCCTGGGATCCCCTGGACCCGCAAGCTCTGCACTCCCCGGCTCGTCTCTCTGCACCAGGGCGACTCCTTGACTCAGCTCCTGGGGGGTCTCCTCTGCACTGTGCCCTCAAGGAGCTGAAGGAGGGAGAAGAATGGCCCAGCCTAGAACAAAGGTCCTGGGCTGCCCGTGTGTGCTGGACGCCTGCCAGCTGAGGAGTGAGGGGGGGTGGATAAGCCCCTCTGGCGGGAGGAGGCCGAACTTGGTCTGGCCCTTCACTCTGAGCAGGGCTTTGGTAGCTTACTGGGCAGCTGGTGAGGGTGAGGAGCTTTCATCCTTCAGAACAGATGTAGTAACCCCTGGCCATGTGCTTCTTACCTTGCTCGGTCCCCTCCTTGAATTTTAGGGAGGCCACCCCTGTGGTGCTTTCCAGAAGCACTGGGGACTGACCTGGTTTTACCCTCTTCAGCGTGCCCAGCGCGCCTGGCCCTCTAGGACAAGCCTTCCCTCCCTCGGCTCGGCCGCTGGCAGAGCTGCCTCTCCATGAGGGGCCTCACGAAGCCAGCGCGGGTGGATTTCAGGACAGGTGGCAGAGAGACGCTGTGCCTTTCAGTTGAGGATCCAATGGAGCCCCAGGTGCGGCGTCCAGAAG